TGTGGTAACAATAAACACAAAATCAGATTTCTGATGTCAGCAGTTTCATGAAAGTACTCCAGTTGAAGTTAACAGAATGCTCACTGACTTTCTGAGTGGCAATATCTACCTACAGTTGTTTAATTCATATTGCTATCACTTTTTCATTGTAGGCTTTTTCTGGTTAGTGCTCTGAGGTGATCTGAAGTTAGGTGACCATGAATTCCCACCCTTCAAAACAGAGGGAAGCCAATTCCATCGTCTTTCCCCTGAGGTGAAGAGTCCCTGCTCACATTCTTAGAGAGGTCTTCATTTTCACATTAGCCAGACAGTACAAGGAGGGCGCTCCCTCTTTCTTTACAGAGAACTCAGTCCCTTGATGCTAATTCAAGAAATACTCATCCAAAGCACTAAAGAAAAGAATATCCATCTCAAAAGAGATGAAAGCCAGTGTGCTATTGTGGTTAGAATATTGAACTAGGATCTGGGAGACCAAGATTTGAATCCCCACTCTGCCATGGAAGTTTCCTGGGTGTCTTTGGGCCAGTCACATACTCTCAGTCTCACATACCTTAAAGGGTTGTTAGGAGGATAAAATGGAGGAGAGGAGAACAATGTAACCTGCCTTGGGTCCCCATTTGAGAGAAAGGTAAGCTATAAATGAAGTAAATAAATAAAAAAAGCAATGAAGACTCCCCACCACCATCACCACTGTAATGGTCATAAGAGTACACTATTGTTAAAGCAAAAGTAGTGTGTTTCTACCCTAGAATAAAACTGCAAACTGCATTTTCATGGCACTCTCTTGCTATCATGTGGTGCTGAAGCAAGAGATTAAAAATTGATAACCCATGGTTAATGGGAAAATACAAATATAGATTACCAGAATATTTTTAATCCCTGATATAACTCTCTTGGCATCTATATATTTGAGTCCTTATCCTACTTTTTCATATCAGTTCATCAATGCTGGTGTGATATGCTTGTCCATCGTCATTCCACTTCATTAACCCATTCCATTACAGACAAGGTACAAATTAGTTTTTCGTTTGTTATGGTACTGTGTCTGGTGGCTTCCGTCCCACTTCACTGCTCACAATTTCCAGAATCCTGTTGCTTTAGGCTGTTTGCTTGTCTTATAGCATTTATAACCCTGCTGTTTTTATTTATTTTACTAAGTAAAAGGTGTTTTAATGTTCTTGGGGATTGCATGCATTTCTGCCTGAACTGCTGTGCTGCTTGTACCAAAGCATAACCAGAAAATCATTAAAAGGATTATTTAGAATTTTCTTCAGGACCTTTTGTCAAATTTTTGTGCTCTTGTATCCAGGAACAATGCTAGTATAACATATTTATGATGATACTGTTTGGATTTTGGTTTTCTCAATGATATATTTGCTCAAGAATGTAAAATGTGATAAAGCTAATCTTTGGTGATCATGGAAATGGAAATAATACATAAGAGCATCATAAAGATTATACTTTTCCATTTCTGTTATGCTTAATTTGTGGAGGGGGATTGGAATAACAAAGTCAAATTGAAGCCAATGCTTAGATGTGTTATTACAGTGTGAAAACAGAAATGGTTTTTGTGTTATTGGGTGAAGTATGATGTTGATTCTCATTCTGTTCATGTATACAAATTTTCTCATTCAGTTCATGAACTTGTTTTAGTTAAGATTGAGAGTAACTTCCAGAGAACCAAGCAAAGCAAATATTGACTTACTATGAATTTATTTCCCCTCCTCCTGACTTTTTAACATTTCATGCTATATATGGCTGTAATTGTTTTCTTTTAATACACACAAGACATAAGTAGATTTAAGGGTCATTGTTCCTTTCATCCAAATCCCAAATACTTGTATCCAGCATCACTGTAATGCTTCTGCAATCAGGTATTTCAATATGTTTTGCCTTGTCTCAGTGTTGCATGCTATGTCCTAATCACTGGTCTTAGGACCATGGTTCCATGGGACCACTTATGCAATTAGAGCATTTATTGGCTATGTGGTCTACTAAATGGGTTTTGGACATCACATTTGAAATTGACTTTGTAAAGTACTCAAATTGATGCTGGTATGTTGAACTGAAGAGAGCAGTGTGCTGATCATCAAAGGAATTGATTATTCACGTCCCACATAATGATCCATCCCAAAAAATGTTGGAAGGTTGGAATGAAATAGGGAAAATAGCCTAGAACAAATGTTTCTAACCTTTCCCCCAATTTTATTAATCCATAGGGGCCTGCAGGTTCACAGCCTTCACCCCATGCACAGCCCCCCACTCACAACCCCAGCAATCCCACGATGGGACCTCATGGTCAGGTAGGAAGGTATACAAAAGAACCCATCTGAAACACCTTACTTGCAACTGCCATTACAATGATAGTTTTCTCATTTCAGATTTGCCATTTAACTTTCCTTCTCCACCCAAAGTGGTTCACATTTTGGACCAGATGCTCTGTAGTATTCATCTTCAGTACTTTCTTCCAGTAATACATTGAATCACACTTCCCTGCTGTGCCCCCTTTCACCATATTCTCACTATTTACTTATTAAATGATGTGGTTTGTTCATTTCTCTATTTTTGTGATTAATTACTTTCCTGACATCTTTGTAATTTGTTAATGGCAATTTTGGCATATAGCATGGGCAAGCTATTTTGCCATTACTCTTCTCCCATTCATGTCTGTGTTGCATACAAATTTTATTTTGTCTGGTTTTGTCCTATATCTGAATGTAGCACAGTTTGTGTGTTTTTGACCAAGGATTCACTTATTTTTTAAAATCATTTTTAAAAGTATAATTACATTTGTGGCAATGAAATAGTCACTGTTCATCTATGTATTGTATGTTAAGCTTGCCAAAACATTTTGATGCTATAATGCTAGTAAATTGTTCAGAACCACTCCATACCTTTGAGAAAATTAATCCTTGTGGCACCGTTTACTATTCTGTAAGCCTAGAATATAGCTCTGTACAGTTCTTGAGAGCATACAGGTTATCATTCTTTTGTTGCTACTGATTCTGAGGGAGAAGAGTAGAATTTATAGCCTGGAGCTATTGTGAATAAAGCAAAGGGGGTATTTCCAAACAGTGTCTTTACTTCTGGTGCTCAGTGCTTTCGGAGATAGAACTGGTAGGGAACAAGCAGATTGGGGGCCATCAATCTCTACCTGTCATTTGACAGATTAAATTTGGGTTTGTCACAAATTCAGCAGTTCCCAATACCTTGTTCTCTAGGTACTGTTTCAATTGCAGGTTCCATTCTACCCCATAGTGCTGTAATACAATTATTTTTGTCTGCTGTAAGGTTATATATTCAAACCAATGTAATGTGTCCCACACTGGTTTAAACTGCATGTCTTCTTTCTTGAATTTGTGGGCTCAGAAGTTGGCAGCTGTCCAGGATTCAGTGTGGAAAGTGAGCACTCCCTGAAAGCAACATTTCCTCTCCTTACTTGTGTGTGTACCTCTGTGTCTCCTTCCTTCAGCTGGGCCACTGCTTCCAGATAACCATTAGAGTCTGAAGGCACTATGCTGCCATAAGACTTCATCTGTATCTAATCCTGAGATATTAACAGAGTAACAGGAAGGCCTTGGTTGTATTTAGCTTGCAGTCAACTGGTGACAGGTCCCTGCCAGCATGGCAGATATGTGTGGACTGGATTTGGCTTTCTTGAAGAGGAACGCTAGGCTGATTTTGAAAATGTTGATCATTTTCCATACACCTAGTGAGCAATTTAAAGACCTGAGTTTGGCATAGTGGTTTGAATTCTGGGGTTTTGAAAAATACTATATTTATCTAGGCAGTTGTGTTAATAAAGTGAACATAGAAGTTGGGGGACTACGATGATCTGTCTGGGGCTGAATTTGGATACGGGTTAGAAAACCATTGCTGATGTGATATAAATTGTGTTATACATTATTTGCACAGTCTGTGTAACAGTTCTTACATTGTGGTTATATGATGGTCTATAGACGTGCACAGTCATCACACGCTTGTACATTAATTGTCTGAAGTTTGGCAGAATAGTGTACTAAATATTATTGGCATGATGATATGAGACCCAAAAACTAGTGGAACAAGGCACAACCCACAATGTTAGATTCCCTGTTTTTTAAATGCAGCAAATCTTCTTGTATGGGTTAAGAAATTGGTTTTGGGATAGAAAACAGAGCTGTGCCAGAGTATTGTGAGTTTAACTTTCATACTGAGGTTTGCACTTTTGAAGGACAGCATTTTGTTGAGCACCTAAGCCAAATGCGTGAAATGGAAAGTATTTTTCTGCTTTCCTGAGTTGTGGGGTAAAGGAATTGTTCATACCCTGAGCTAATCTGATCAGGGTCAGTAAAGTTGGTGACCTGGTTTAGTTGAAATTTTTACTTTCTGTAATCTTTGCTTTAGCTCTACAGTAATAAGGACAGATAATAAAGAGACTGTCTAAACTTTAATGCTAATGACAATATATTCCTACTAGTTTATGCTCAAAGTTTTCCTTCCCTGAATTGATCATAAACAGTTCTAATTTTAGCTATAGTGAATGCTAGTTCCACTCCAAATATGTGGAATAGGATTGCTGCTTCAAAGAGAAAAGTAGTGGCCATAGAATGTCTGCAGTTCCAGATTATAACCATTAGGCAGTATGTCCCTATCTGTCAGCCAGGAAAGAATGACAATAACATTTGATGCACATTTTTTTATATAGCCAGTGCTTCCCAGCCTAGGGGATAGGGACCCTGGGGTCCTGCGGAGTTTTTTGCAAAAAGTCCACGAATCCATGTGCACACTAAGCATTGTCATTTTGATCTTTATGTCTTTTCTCAGTCAACAGATTCTAAAAGTACAGCTACTGTCATCTGGAGGGAGGTCTGCAAAGTTTCTTGATGTTAAAAAGGGGTCTTTATACTCAAAAAGGTTGGGAAGCACTGGTTTAAATGAAGGGCAGTATCAAATCCCTATGTTAGATCAATTTAAAATGAATTCATTTCTGTTATTAATTCTGCCATTTCATTTTTTAGCCATTCATGTCTCCCCGGTACCCAGGAGGCCCCAGGCCACCTTTAAGGATACCCAATCAGGTAACCCTTTTTACTAATGAAGGACAAGTGGAAAAAAGTACTTTCAAGTAGGAAAGCAAAATTCTGCAAGCTCACCTTCAAACAGGGTTTATGCAACTATTTTATGTAATGCAATCAAACTTTAATTTATTGAACTGGAGACTTGCTTCAAGTGTTTATTTTGAACAGTGCCATATATGTTAGGTCAGGATGGATTTGATCTTGTTTATCAGTTTATAGCAGAGTTAAACAGCACTGTGCCACCTGCAAAAGTATGTAACTTACATGACATAGGTCTTCCTCACGAACTAAATTCTGAGGCCTTAAATAAGGCCACTCAAAAACTGCTACATTTTTAACATACAGAAACATCTCCCCAGTAACTTTATTTACTGTATGCATATCATATCATATAATGTCCCTTACCTTATTTTGTTTAGCGATAAAGCAGGATTGTAAAGTACTTCTCAGGAAGAATTGCATGATATTTTCAAAACTAAATCTTTTAAAAAATGTATAATAGAAAGTACTACTTAATCTAAGGCACAGTTACTGCATTAATCACACATTATATTAACATTAGTTTAGTTTACATGAGCTTTAATCTGTGTAGTATTTGAGTCAGTGCCCCACACAAGGGTTGGTATGCAGAATTATATTTTTGATAAACAAAATCAACATGTATCATCTAACTAGATCAACAAAACTGATTAAAGAACAAAAGAATAACCATAGCTTTGAATCTGGACATTTTATATTTGTGAAAATATGAAGGGTTGAATCCTTTGTCACTCTGGCAGAAAGGGCTGGCAGAGGTAGATCTTTCCTGCCTTTCCCCACTGGCCACCAATGAGTGCTGAAAAATCAGTATTGAGGGTTAGAGAGACAGGGCATCTGCAGTGATGTGAAGTTTCTGAACACTTCTCAAGAGCAGCCTTATGTAGAACACATTGCAGTAATATAATCTAGGTGTAACAAGGGCATGCACCACAGTGGCTGGAGCTTTTTGCCCAGTAAAGGCTGCAGCTGGCTAACCAGTCGAAGCTGGTAAAAAGGCATTTCTGGCCACAGCTGCCACCTAATTAACCAGCAGTAGGGCCGAGTTCAAGAGCATCCCCAGACTACAAACCTGTTCCCTCAAGGGGAGTACAATCTCATACAGAACTGGTGATACCCTAAATCCCAGATCAGACCTCCTGCTCACCAGTAGCACTTTCATCTTGTCCAGATTAAGTTCAAGTTTATTAGCCTATATTCACTCCAAAACTGTGTCCAGGCACTGGTTCAGAATTTCTACAGCCTGGGATTAGCTGGAAGTGGGATGTGGGGCAGAGTGTCATCCACATATTGGCAATGGCCAGTGTTCCCTCTAAGCTGAGTTAGTGTGAGCAAGCTCACCGTTTTTTAGCCTCCAAGTCATATATTTTTGTCTTAGCTCAGGAAGGATGGCTCCAGAGCAAGCTAATTTATGCAGTAGCCAAATTGTTCACTCACAACTTTAATGCCAGTAGCTCACAAAGTAGAATTTTTGCTCACAAGACTCCACAGCTTAGAGGGAGCATTGGCAACAACCCAACCCAGATCTCCAGATGACCTCACCCAGCAGTTTCATATAGATGTTAAAAGAACATAGAGGACTTGCAGGACCCCATAGGCCAAAAGAACTGAGCGGCAGTCCCTCGGCACCACCTTAAATGGGAGGTAATATACCTTAAATTTTAGGTTGATAAACATGTAGATTCACGTAGGCCTAGGGTACTACCCACTATATATTTAGTTGTAAAAGTGAAATAAAATTCCTTATTCAAAAAGGATACAATTTATATTTGTTTCCTAATGATATTTTTCTTTATAGGCACTTGCAGGTGTCCCAGGAAGTCAGCCATTATTGCCTAGTGGAATGGATCCAACACGGCAACAAGGTTCTTATATACATATTAGATATTATATGACAATCTGATGTGTTTTTGTTTGTTTCTTAATGTATTCTCCCTTGTTATCATTTTTAGTAGCTGGAATGAGGGGCATTAAATTGGCACTACTGAGGGAAACTAGATGGAATATTTTTCTTATTCTGTGATAAGAAGTGGATAACTCATAGATAGGATAAACAAAAAAAACATTCTGTTTAATGCACTGCTACTCAGTTTAGTTGCTCTGTCTGAATCTTGAGTTTAGATAATTTTATGTTGCTATGTTAATTCTGCATCATGGCATATTCTCATTGTTCTGGATCCTATAGCTTGTAGCCTAATGCTCCACTCAGTAAAGTGTAAAGCCTTCCTCCAGCCGGAGGACCTGTGCTCCAACAGAAGTGACTCTTCTACTAGAAGGCTTCAGACTTTGAGAGCAAAGTGGTGGGATAAAAGGTGGAATTGCTTTGAGTGGCGGGAGTTGGAGGGGGGGATGGTGAAGGCAGGATCCAACCCAATAAAGCTATCGTTCTGAAGAGAAAAGCATTTTTGTCAGTTTGGTTCATGCATGTTTTGTAGAAGGCACCATTTTAGAAGGGGCATGAGGAGAAAAATGCCATTTCTAAGGAGATGCCTTCTACATAAATGGTAAAACCTAATATATAGGTTTTCACTTGTTTTTTAGGACATCCAAATATGGGCGGGCCAATGCAAAGAATGACTCCTCCTAGAGGAATGGTTCCATTAGGACCTCAGGTACATTGCTTGTGGGTTTTGATTCTTACAGTTATGTTGTAATTCCCTTTCTTCTTACTGAAATTCTACTACAGATATGTTGTGATTTCATACAGTTAGATTCAAGTCCAGCAGCACCTTAGAGACCAACAGGTTTTTCAGGGTATAAGCTTTCGAGAGTCAAAGCTCCCTTCATCAGATACAAGTAGAAATGGAGATCTCAGAGTCGTTATATCCCAGTCAGAAGGTGGGATGGGTGTTGTAAAGAAGGAATTTAGGATGCAAAGGTACAGTGCATATTGTAATCAGCTTGGGGGCAGAAAATTAGCATCTGTAGTGAGGTAAGAATCCTGTGTTCCTGTTCAGACCTGGGATGTCCATTGTTCTGAACCTGTGAATGAATTCAAGTTCAGTAATCTTGCATTGTAATCTCCCCTTGAAGTTTCATTCTTCATGGACTGCCACTCTTAAATCTTGGCTTTAGACAACAGATTATTTGGTGTGTTTAGAAAGGTGACTGGAGGCATGTAGATAAGTTTGCTGATCAGTAGAAGAAGAAGAAGAGATTGGATTTATACCCCGCCCTTCACTACCCAAAGGTGTCTCAGAGCGGCTTACAAACTCCTTTCCCTTCCCCTCCCCACAACAGACACCCTGTGAGGTAGGTAGGGCTGAGAGAGCTCTTGACAGAAACTGCTCTTTTTCAAGAACAGCTCATTATCAGAACTACGGCTTGCCCAAGGTCATCCAGCCAGGTGCAAGTGGAGGAGTGGGGAATCAAACCCAATTCTCCCAGATTAGAGTCCGTGCGCTTAACCACTACACCAAACTGGCTCTCTGATTTCTGGTATAAGGTGATTTTTATACCTCCATTATGTATTTATACAATGTTATTTAGAAAGTGTATTTTCTCATGGGTTAGTTCATGGTCAGGTTGATGTTGGGGCGGAGTTGCTGAAGGCCTAGTGAAATTTCTTCAGTGCTTCTTTTCCATGTGTCTAGACGATGAAAATGTTGTCAATAAATCTCAGATACAAGGGCGTGTTAACAGATGGGAGTTGAGGAAACTGTTCCAGGTTAGCCATGAAAATCTTGGCATATTGTGGTATCATGTGGGTGCTCATGGATGTGCCATTAATCTGAAGGAATAAATCTTTACCAAATCTGAAGTAGTGGCAGGTGAGGACAAATTGGCAGAGCTTGGTAGTGTGGTTGGCCGTGGTGCTGTCAGATATGGTGTTCCTAATAGCTTGTAGTCCACCTTCGTGGGGGATGTTGGTGTATAGATACTCAGTATCCATGGTGGCTAAAATAATGTTTCCTGGAAGATTGTTAACAGATTGTACTTTTCTCAGGGTGTCCATGGTGTCTTGCACATAGCTTTGATGGCCTAGGGTCTGAGAATAGTTTTCATGTATCCAGATACCCCTACAGTGATAGTGCCTCTGCCTAAGAAAACAGGATGTCATGGGTTGCCAAGTTTGTGTATTTGGAGCAGAAGACCACCTCTAAACATCTCTTGCCTTGAAAACCCTATGAGGTCACTTTAAGTCAGCTGCAACTTGAGGACAAAAGAAAGAGTAGCCTTGCAACACATCAGGGGATAGGGATGGAGCTGGGCATCTCTCTGTACATAAGGATGTGCAGGTGATGAAAAGCAGGGCTGGTAGTGAATGCCAGCTAAGTTTTGAGCTGGGGTGATTTTGCCCAGAAGGCAGTCCATGTGGATGCCCAGCTCAGCCCACCCTCAAAATCGTCAGTTTATGAAATAAGCAGTGATATATATCAGCCATTTACATGTTGAACACAATTAAATAAATGAACTAACTGAACCTATTCTTGGTTTCTTATGTTGTCATTGGGGGTGGGTGCTGGGCAAGTGAGAATCAAAGCAAATTATGCTTTGTGTTGATTTTGTCCTGGCCCCTAACTGGCTCTATTGGCTGTGGAGAAAACAGCAGCCAATCAAATGAGGGCAGCTGGCCATTTTGCCATGTGGCTTTCTCTCATTTTCAGTCTTCTCCCTGCAGCTGACACACCTGCTCTCCCTGGGGGATAGCAGAGGATTAGCTCACTATATAGGGCTGAGCAGGAACTGGAGGGGGGGAGAGTTTTGGAAATTGACTGTGTTGGGACCCTCTATTACTCCTGCTTTGTGATGTCTTCTGCGGGATGGTGTATTTTCTCATTAAGTAGTCCTCCTGATTTTATAAGTGGTTAGGCCGCAACTAGTCGGCAGGAACAGAGCAGGTTGCTTTGGATAGGTGGCGTTAGTTGGCAAGCAGACATCTACATAACAGGCTGTCACACGCCTTGCAGGTGGGGGTACTGTGAAGGAGCACCCTGGGTGCTTAGCAGCATCTTTTGAACCTAGTAGTAGCATTGCGACATATCAGGAGAGCGGGATGAAGCTGGACACACAGGGTGGTGATAATAGGTTTGGAGCTGGGGTAGATATGTCCAGAAGGCAGTCCATGCGTATACAAACTCAAAATGATCAGCTTATTGACATAAGCCGTAATGTAGATCAGCCATTTACATAAGCTGAATACAGGTAAATAAATAAACTGATTGAACCCACATTTGGTGTTTCATCCTTGGGGGGGGGGAGGTGCCAGGGCAAACAATCCAAGATGCTTGGGTATAACATGCCTGGGAGTGCCTTGGTCACGCATCCATACGTTTTTAAATACTGTACTCCTTTTATAAAAAACCTTGAAAACATAAACATTGATCAAAATGTAGTTACTCTGTTCCCAGCTAACTAGTGTTGCATATCTACAGAATCAAGCCATTGGTGTTTCCTTCACATAACATTAAATCACAATTACGTTTACTATTTCTGGGATAAATACAAAATAAATTTTAAAAAGAAAGATATACGAAGAAGAGAGAGAAGACGAGATTGGATTTATACCCCGCCCTTCACTACCCAAGGGAGTCTCTCAGAGTGGCTTACAAACTTCTTCCCCTCCCCACAACAGACACCCTGTGAGGTTGGTGGATCTGAGAGAGCTCTGACAGAAACTGCTCTTTTTCAAGAACAGCTGTGCAGGACTATGGTTTGCCCAAGGTCATCCAGCAGGTGCAAGTGGAGGAGTGAGGAATCAAACCCGGTTCTCCCAGATTAGAGTTCACGCACTTAACCACTACACCTATAAAGGAAAGAAACAAAATAGAAAAAAGTTCAGCTACTTCTGCTTGTTGATCATTCACAGTCCTTCATGTTATATCTGCCCTTTTTATGTAGCATTTGGATATTATCTATTTTTTTAAAAAAAATCTGAGTATTTACTTGAATTTATGAAATGAGTTGATAATACTTAAGTTCTTGTTCATCAAGTGTAATCAAGAAAGTGATTTAAGTAAGCTTTTCAAGAGAAGAAAATGGAGGAATGTGAATTGTTAGATTTGTAATAGAATACAAATAAATTATGTTGAAAGGAACATTGGACATACTGTAAAGCTGCTATGGGGAAAGGAGTGACTCCCACCAACCAGTTTGGAAACTCCCCAAGCCATAACTAAACACACTTGAATAAACCATTTTAGTAATACCCAAATTAATACAACTAACAGCAGAGATTAAACATGAAAAAAAACACAACATAGAGTCAATTATACAGGAAGTGTTATAGAAGGTAAAAGATTCAGTCATACTAGGGTAGGGTAAGAGGCCCTCCCTTCCTCAGAGAGGAAGGTACATTTCTCACTCTGAGGGGAATGACATCTTATGGGATCATGAGGTGATTGTTATGAAAGAACAAAGAGTCAGTAAAGACTTGCTTTAATGATGGCCAGGTTCCATTATAAAAGGGTATGCATTGAAGCCTTGCACAAGCCCCATTGAGGTCAGTGGAGATTACTTAACAACAATGCTAAGTGAACAGCATCTTAAAAAAAATTCTTAGTGGTTCTTTTGAGTATGAATTTCTGCTTTACATTATGAATTTATTCTTTCACTTTGCCATTAAAATGCAGAGGACATTTTAGCCACCATTGTAAATAATGTTGAAACCAGTTTAATTTTTCTGTATTGCCACAGTGTGTTTATATTTGTGGAAGACTTCTGTAAAATGGCTTGGATCTAATGAACCGCAAGTGGAATTCTGTTCATGGAATATGATTTTTATTCTTTGCCCTGCAGTCCCCTGTGCCACTCAAAAAGCCACTCCTGAGAGGTGGGAGACCCTCTGGAATAGCGTGGTATGTGGCATGATGGGCTGCAGTAATAAATATATCATTTAGCTGGAAAACTCTCATAGTTTACCTATCTGTATGTAAACAGAATATGTATTCTTGGCTATGAAAGGCTGCATAGAATACGTCAATGCATTTTCCGGTAAAGCTAACAAATTCTTGAGTGCTTTAAAAGCGGCCAATGCTGTTTGTTTTCCAAACTTAAACATTACAACACTTTTCAACTATAGCAAATTTACAAGTGTTTATATTGAAACTCTTCAATGAGTCTGTTCAGCAAACCCATGCCATAGCATATGAGGTCAAGTAGTATAGACACATGTAATGTAATTTAGCCTTTTAGATTAGGGTTGCCAGGTCAACTTACCCTGCCAGTGGGAGGTGGGGGGTGGGAGCTTTCTGGAAGTGTGGTGGGTGGGGCCACATTGCCATGTGCAGTGTCACTGATGCGATGACTTCACACGGAAATGACATCGTCACGCTGGGGCTGTTTAATCATGCAGCTTTCTGAACGTGGCAGTCCAGTTGCAAATTTGAATGTCCAAATATACGCAAAGCTCATTTGGCCAAAATGCTAGAGCGTTGCTGTGCGACGTCCCTAACGTGATGAAGTCACTTCCGTGTGATGTTATCATGTCGGCAATATTGTCGCACAAGGTTTGGGGGTGGAGCTTCCCCCACCTGCCAGCTGGCTGGCAGCAGTATGAAGCCCCGAAAATCAGGGAACCCCTATCCAGTCTGGGGGAGTCTGGCAACTCTATTTTAGATCCATTGTTTTGGCCTGGATACTGATCTTTCTTTGCGCAAGAAGAAGGGCTGATTTCTGCCAGTTTCCAGTTTCTGTTGCTGTATGTGACAACCTAAGGTCCAAAGTACACATTCCCTATACCACATGATCACCACAGGGACTTGCAGTGATACAGCAGCTGCAAGTTCCCTGTGGGGATTCAGTTTTGAAATGTTGCAGGGACATGATTCAGATGGGACTGTGGCATAGCAAGAGGAGGGGCTCCTGCCTCCCCCTCTGCCATTGTACTGAATGCTTACACATGCATTCCCCCCCACTCCCTCCTTTCCCCCATCACCTGCCAGCTGGCTGGCAGCAGTATGAAGCCCCGAAAATCAGGGGAACCCCTATCCAGACTGGGGGAGGGGGTCTGGCAACTCTATTTTAGATCCATCGTTTTGACCTGGATACTGATCTTTCTTTGCGCAAGAAGAAGGGCTGATTTCTGCCAGTTTCCAGTTTCTGTTGCTGTATGTGACAACCTAAGGTCCAAAGTACACATTCCCTATACCACATGATCACCACAGGGACTTGCAGTGATACAGCAGCTGCAAGTTCCCTGTGGGGATTCAGTTTTGAAATGTTGCAGGGACATGATTCAGATGGGACTGTGGCATAGCAAGAGGAGGGGCTCCTGCCTCCCCCTCTGCCATTGTACTGAATGCTTACACATGCATTCCCCCCCACTCCCTCCTTTCCCCCATGCCCCCCCCCCAGCACTTCCAAATTGAATTCCAGTGGGAATTTGAATTTAGCATACTGGTTCAAGTCCCAGTGGCAATCATATGGCTATGAAATGTGTAGTTTGGCCCTATGAATAGGGGACCACAAATTGTGGCTGGGCTTCGTAGTTAACTTTTATTTTTTACAAGGATCTGATGATGATGATGATTTAGATTTCTGAATCGCCCATCCCCGCAAGAGGGCTCTGGGCGATTTACAGCATTAAAACAGATAAAATACAACCAGCATGATAAAATTATTACAGTGCATTAATAAAACAATCAATCCAGATGGCGATCAGTCCTTTTTGCCAGTTGGCATGCTCTCTGTGCAGCAGGGTGGGGAAGGGAACGCGGGCCCAAAAGTAAAAAAGGAGGGTGCCAGTTTTAACTGTTGCTGTCCTCAACCAAAAGCCTGATGGAACATCTCTGCCTTATAGGCCCTGTGGAATTGCATCAGATCCCGCAGGGCCCTGATGTTATTTGGCAGAGAGTTCCACCAGGTCGGGGCTAGGACCAAAAATGCCCTAGCACTGGTTGAGGACAGCCAGACCTCCCTAAGGCCGGTGATCACCAGTAAGTTATCAGTTGATCTCAGTGCTCTTCTGGGGACATATTGGAGGAGGCGGTCCCAAAGGTGGGTCCTTGACCGCTCAAGGCCTTAAAAGTCAACACGAATACCTTGAACCTGACTTGGTACTCCACCGGTAACCAATATAGCTGGTGCAGCACAGGTTGTATATGTGCTGTCCGTGGCGTTCCCGCCAGGACTCGCACTGCCACATTCTGAATCAGTTGCAGCTTCCGAGTCAGTCTCATGGGCAGGCCAGCATAGAGCAAGTTACAGTAGTCAAGTCTGGAGGTGACTGTTACATGGGTTACTGTGGCCAGGGAAGGGGCCAAAGGAAAGGAGCCAGCAGCTCTGCCTGGCGTAGCTGGTAAGATGCCAGTCTGGCAGCATTGGTGACCTGTGCCTCCATAGACATGGAAGCATCCAAGATCACACCCAGGCTCCTGACAGAGTGCATTGGTGTTAATGGCACCCTGTCAAAGGCTGGAGGCTGAAACCCCAGTCCCGGAGCCCTCCTCCCCAGCCACTGAACCTCCGTCTTCCCCGGATTCAGTCTCAGCCTGCTCTTCCTTAACCATCCCACCACGGCCTCCAAACCCTCAGCCAGATTTTGTGGAGCAGTAGCTGGGTGGCCGTCCAACAGCAGATATAACTGGGTGTCATCTGCATATTGATGACACCCAAGTCCGAAACTCCAGGCCAGCTGGGCGAGGAGGCACATGTAGATGTTCAGTATAAGGCGGAGTCATGTGTTCCCATGTAATTGCTGACACTAAAGCAGAGGCATTAAGTATTTTTTATAGTTTTGCTGAGCTTTTTCCAAGCTTTTGAAACACTAACAGGGCAGGGGATCCAGGGGCTCTCCCTGGGTTTTTGAGCTCCTGCCCCCATATGGAAGTTGCTGATGTCATATGGAAATGACATCAGTGACACTCTGGTTATGGGGCAAAACTCTATGGTTTGAGGGTGATTTTTACCAGTTTTTGCCCCAAAAAACAGTGTCTTTTACCATAGAGTTTTGCCCCCAAAACAGTGTAACTGTGAGACATTGCCAACGTGATGATGTCACTTCCGTGTGATGTCATCACATCACGGCACTCCACCCCACTCCTGAAAAGTCCCTCTCCCTCCCCCCACCAGGACGATATCAGACCTGGCAACCCTAAACATAAAGGGCCCCCCTAAACAGCTGCAGCACTGATAGAAGTGGCTTTTGAGGCACAGAATAAACTCCACTGAAATGATATGTAAAAATCAGTCACAGGATTGTGAAGCTCTTAAAAGCACAGTGCAGCAAATTCCTTTTCCTTAAAAGGCCAAGTTGAAAAACATTCTCACCACTGGTGAGTGCTTTTTGTGGAACACTTCATAACAGCTGTTTCAACACACATTTTGGCTTTGTAGGGAACATGGCATTGGATTATTTATAGGCACTCCAATACAATTTCATATTCTTTAAATAATTTTAGTACTCATTGCTATTTATTAAAGAAGCATAGAAGTAATCATTTCTTATAGATGGAAAATATCCACAGCACTCTGCAGCTGAAATTATTAAAATGTTATGTTAATTAAGACAGACTTTAAAAATTATTCATCTGAATCTGCCAGTATGGAATCCCATCTAATATTTTTTTAGAATCCTGAGTGATCTTCCATGAAATGACTATTAAATAATCTTCAGGAATTAAACATGGTTACCGTAGCTCCATTGTTGAGATAATAAGACTGTTAGTAAATGCTAAATAGATTCATTCTTCAGAGACAGTAGAAGAATAATTGTTTTGAAAAAGGCAAGCAACTCAAATTCTGAAAATGAATGGCAATGCCCTATCCAATCAGCAGATGTGTAGGGATATTAACTTGCTGTCCTTTCTTTCCCCCCTCCTCTTTGGTTTTGTTTTTTTGTTTTGTGGTAGTCTGACCCTTGGTTATCATTGCAGAACTATGGAGGTGCAATGAGACCCCCACTGAATGCTTTAGGTGGCCCTGGAATGCCTGGAATGAACATGTAAGCAAAATAATGTACTATTATAACACTTATCATGAGATAATCTTTCTCTTTTAGATTAAAGCTAACAGCAGTGATGTATGTAGAATGTTATTTGATAAACTGCTTAACATGAGTAATTTTTGCTCTTCATCTGGTGCAAGATTTTATACTCCAAGATCCAGAACTTGTTGATTATAAATCAAGATTCCCTGCTGGAAAACGGCATTGGAATTCAATTTAATAATGTTTTTTCTGTTGTGATGTATTTAAAATTCTCATTCATACCTAATAAGGCAGTACAAGGAAGCTCAGTGTTTTGCCAGTAGAGATAACTCTGTCTCTAAAATACTTAAGCTGAATTTTCTTTCCTCACTGGTTTTATGGTGGTGTTAGTTTTAATAATTAGTAAAATAGCTGTATCTTTGCAACCTGTAGTACTATTTGTATATTTTGTTGGGGTTTTTTGTTCTTTCTAGATGGTATCTCATTTGTTTTTGTTTTTTTGTTTTTGCAAGACATGATATTTGAACCTTACCCACTATATGTAAATGTGTAGCATTTAAAGTATGAAAAGTTATATGCAGAGATGCCATGTTTGAGATATGGGTGATAGAGATACAGAAGATGACCTTCTGAAATACACAATCTTCCATGATTAGTGCTAAATTTAGATAAGCCAGCCTAAGTCAAATGGGTAAGCAGAGGTCCACCTCTCTGCCTGTACAATTCTTTATACAATATGGCATCCTTCCCATGGAAGAAGCCATTGTCCAGATTCTATGATGGCTATTTTCTCATTTGGCAGGCTATGCTGACATGTAAATTGGGCTGGGTGGGTGCAAGATTCAAGCAATCAGAGGCGTGGTCATAATACTGTTTCCAGTGGAACGTATGCTCACCCTGCTTATGGTTGGCTATTGAGGAGCCAGCACCAGAGCTAAATTTTGTCTCCGTGAGAAAACAAGTGGAGAATCTGCTCATATCATAGTCTCCATTTTAGATGCAATTGAACAAGATAACCTGAACATGGCCCACTCAGGTTCAGGTTATCTACCCTATTTGCCTTATAAAATTTAGATGCTATCTCTCCAGAAATCTGCTCAAAAGTAAATTACACAGTTATTTTTAAAAAATGAGTGTAAAAAGTTTTTCATAACATCTAAATACAATTAAATAATAAAAGTCACCATAACTGTTTAATATAAAAACAAACCTTGGGTATAAAAACAAAATAAAACATTAAGCACCCTAAAATCATATCCATAAATAGCTCTTAGGTTAGAAGATTGCTTTGAAAAATGGACCCCTTCAGTTAACAGCTGGTTAAAGAGAAATGATTTGGAATACTGCCCAAAGGATAACAGACAAGAGACAAGCCACAAAGGGAGAAGGCATTTTAGAGGTAATGTGCCACCAATGGAAACAGCCCTGTATCTGGCTGCCACCCACTTCATCTCTGAAAGCAGGGACACACATAGAACAGGGCCTTGGAAGAGGATCTTAACTGGTGGGCTGGGCAGTACAGGAGGAAACTGCCTCTCAAGTTTCCCAGCCCTATGCCATTTCAGGCCTAAAGCTGGGAACCAGTATTTTGAATTGTGACCAGAACCAAGTAGGCAGCCAGTGCAGATCTTTCTCCACCATACCCTGTGTACAGCCCCCAACAATAGCTTGGCCATAACATTTTGGACCAGTTAAAGTTTCCAGATCATTTTAAAAGTCACCTTCCCTTTTGTCTATCCTTGATAGTATCAGGGCATTGATAGTTGTGAAAAGATCACACTTTTATGTGGAACAGGCATAGCTGTTAAAAGGTACAGTGTCCCAGAGAAGAGACTTGAGCCTCCAATTGTAGGCCAAGATTCAGCAGCATCCCCTGTTACAAACCTGCTCCATCAAGGAGAGTATAATTCTCCCAAACCAGCTGACTTCTCAGTCCTTGAGCAGCTTTGTCATTGACCAGCAGCACCTCCTTCTTATCTAGAGTGAACTTCAGTTTATTGTCCCTCATCCGTCCTCGTACTTCTCAGGCATCTGTTCAGGACTTCCACAGACCCTTCCACCTTCAGCTGTCAGGAAGCTGCCATATACATAGAGCTGGGTGGTGCCTTACTGCAAACCTCTGAATGATCTCTCCCAGCGGTATCATCTATATATGTTAAACAAATGAGTTGAACTCTGTAGAGACCCCACAGTATATAAATACCATGGGGCTGAGCAGCAGTCCCTTGGAACCACCTTCTGGAATCAGCTAGCCAGGTAAGAGCAGAACCACTCCCTTCCCAACCCCCTCCCATCCAGCCAGCTTCTTTGGAAGGATACTGTGATGGATGCTATGAACAGGTCCAGAAGAATCAACAGAAATGTGCATACTTTTTCACTTCCAGCAAAGATAACTGGTCAGAGCAATTAAGGCCATTTCTGTCCTGTAGCCTGGCCTGAATCCTATTTACAATGTTTCTAGATAATAAGTCTTCTCCAAGACTGCCTGAAACTGTTTTGTCACCATCTGCTTAAGAGCCTTGCCCAAATGGAATCTTGGCCATGAGGCAGTAATTATTTAGTTCATTCAGAGGCAGAAATCTCTGATATTCCCAGGTATGCTTTTACCCGCTCCAGTAGAACTGAAGCCGGCCTGCTTGTCCCATTTCTGTCCTTGTTTCTGCAGCAAGTTGACTTTTGTCTACTGCTTTTTCTTGTTACTACTGTTGAATCTCTCATTATTTAAATCACAAGGATATTTCCTTTTCTGGGAAAGTGGGTTTCACTTTCAGAGATACTTCTGGTTTTAAAAAAAAGAAGTCAAAGGCCAGGCTTTTCTCTTTCAACTACATAGCTTTTCCTATGGCAGTACTTTGGAAGGTTTATCATAGAGCCAGGTATCTCTATATGGGAAACCGTGCAAATAAGCTAAACGAAAAAGCAGTTGTTATTCCCTAGTATTAGGCTTGCCAGGTTTGGGCTGGAAAATACCTGGAGACTTTGGGGGTAGAGCCAGGAGAGGGTGGGGTTTAGGGAGAAAAGGGGCCTCAGCACAGTACAATGCCACAGAGTCCACCTTTAAAAGCAGCCATTTTCTCCAGGGGAGCTGATCTCTGTCAGCTGGTGATCAGTTGTAAAAGTGGGAGATCCCCAGGCCCCACCTAATATACAGCTGCAAGAACTTATACTTTCACTTCATCAACCACTAAGCTAAAATGAAGGTATTTGAATTAGAGAAAGCACAAATCAATGAAACATCAAATAATCTTGTGACATGTTGAAGACTTAACAGTGCAAAGCAGTCTATAGCTATTCTAGTCTAAAATCTTTCATTTCAGTGGGTTTAGGCTGGATAAATTCTGTGTATATTCTGTAACAAATGCACTGTAGCATGGGATTTTGAGACACTATTAATGTTTCTAGTTAGATTGAACTGAACAGTGCTAAATATTTCTTGTTTTTATAACAGTTATAGACTGAGAATGGATAGGTGTGAATTTACACAAGAGAAAACTAATGTGCTTATTTAGATCTCATATTTAGTAAAAATACAAAGATACTTCAAATTAAATTATCACGTGATCTTTTATATTTTAGGGGTCCAGGAGGTGGTAGACCTTGGCCGAACCCCACAAATGCTAATTCTGTGAGTAAATATTGAACTTCTGTTATGGTTATGCCCCTTTAAAAAGTGAGTAAAAAAAATAACAGCATGTGAGTGGGTTGCTCACGTTACAACTTAATCAGCATGGGAGAGTACTACACTGGATTTTTCCTTGTGTGAGCAGAAGTTTTCTTTCACTATGCGAATCTTTTTTCTTTGATTATCATATTCATAATTCAATATTATAAAATGGTATTTTAGCAACCATAATTGCTGACATGGACAAATGTCATTTAAGAAAATCTTAAGGTTAATATTTTATTAGATTTAGCCATTTGAAATAAGGGTACAGTTAAATGTACGATTCCTTTCTCTTTAGAAGATGATTTTTAGAATTGTAGGCAATAAGTTTTGATAGGATCCTTTTTCATTGGCTTACTGTTTTCTTTTGTCTTTTAGATACCATACTCTTCTGCATCACCAGGGAATTATGTAGTGAGTATACTTCTCTGTGTGTGGGTGGGTGGATGTGTGTTTTTATTCATTAGCATAGATGTTACAACTTATTTAGGTTAAGAAATGGATGTCCAGATGTTACAGAAAAGCCCACGTGTATTGGTTGAGAAGTGAATGTCTGATCTGTTTTGTGTCATTGTGTCTGCAATCTATCTGTAGCACATATGTTGAGGTTCATTAGGAGAACAGTTAACAGTCTGGCCAAAATTGCCCTGAATGCTGTGTTTTACTTTAGCATATGTTCTCTAACTGGTACAATGCATAGATAGGCTTCAGTAATAATGAAGTAAAGTCAGCTGTTTCAAGGGACAGAGTAATGGAATGCAGTAATTTGGAAACTGCATTTTGAAGGGCCCCTAAATAATCTAAAACTAGCATTACCAATATATTTTCAGGAAATATTTTACTTTATTGTTATTCAATTACCTGAAGACAACATACCTGAAGACTGTTCAGGACACTTTGCCCCTTGCATTTTTTTATTTAAACACTACTTGTTTTCCTCAAATTGAATGGCCCTCAGAATTTGAACCCCATGACAATCAAAGGAAGAACTTCTTAAGGTGAAAATGAACTATTGTTAAAAAACTGTGACAGTGAAAACTTTACAACCAGTAATTTCAGTGTGATAATGCAAGTGCAACAATGCATTCACAGAAATGGTGGTCACATGCAGCTGCCTAATCCAATCTGGGATGTACATTTGACATTCTGCTCCCAAATTACATTTTATCCAATCAATGCGTGATTGCAGAGTAAGTGGCTAAACTTTCGCATTGTCTTTTCCCTGATGTTGAATAACTTGGCACCACATGCAGGACACCAGGCATTAGTGCTCCTCTCAAGACTGAATGTAGCTCCAGAGTTGTGGGAAAGGGGTATAATTTTCCCATTATCTATTTATTTGGAAATTTTAAATCTGCTTTTCTCTAATGAATGCAGACTAAAAGTGGTATATTAAAGAAACACTGAAAACCATCAGCACCACAAATAATTAAACTTGGGTTACTTAACCAAGGACTAATCCCTGAGGGGAGTTGAGCAACTGATAACAGCTCTGCCCCTGATGGCCATTCTTCTCCTGACAAGGCAGGCCATGCTTCCCCACCCCCATCCCAAACAAGGAATTATACTTGAGAAGGGAGAATACTGTTTCTTTACTTATTCCTCAGAGTCTGAAAGCATTATTTGGTTTGGGAAACAGATGTAGAAAAGCAGACTATAATGTATCCATACATACTTAAAATATTGGTATTACTTTAGAAAATGTTACACACTGCCTTTTTTATTGAATTAATGTTCAAATAGAAACAATGCCCTGTCAGGTTTTGATGTCACTTCTAGATTTTACTGTAGCTGCAAATGATGAAGCGGTTGGGGCTAAAAAAATTAGAAATATTTAATTAAAATAATAGCTTAATAATAATGTCATTCTGTTTTGATGGTTAACACATTAACAACACAAAAAGACAATTAAAAAGAAAAGGAAAATATGCATTTGATTTTAATTAAATGTGTTGTAGATCAACCTCATCTTCAGTGCATTAGCTGTAGCTGTACATATCTTTATTCAGACATACAACACTGATGATTCAGCATTGCAAATATTAATCCTCGTTCATTTATTAACTGGAGTTGTTTGATATAATCATTGAAAAGCTTGTAAGAACTTGGTTAATGTTGTATGAACAAACTTTTTGAATACTGTTTTTTGTGGCCATGTGCTTTTTATGCTATTACACTGGAAAGAAAGAGGGGCTCCATGGAACCCATACAGAGCCTCCTGCTTGGAACATTGGACCTACCCAGGGCCGGCTCGCTCACTAGGCCAACTAAGCATTTGCCAAGAGTGCGCCGGCCCTTAGGGGCGCCAAACTGCACCCACCCCCCTGCCAAAAGCCCTGCATCTCCCTGACCGACCGGGTAACCACCGCTGCTGCCTCTTTGGCCGGCTAACTTCAGTGTCAGCTGGGGGGCAGGGAGACGGTGGGCCTGGCGCACGGGCACATGGGCTCCTGGGCAGGCAGAGGAGATGCACCGCCTCCCCCTGCTTCCCCATGGGGCCTCTGCTGGGCTCCTGCAGGTTGGGGGGGCTCTGCCGAAGCAACCGCCCAGTGACTCTTAAGCGCCCAGCAAAGAAAAAACTGCGCGAGGCAGGGAGGGCTGCATTTTTAGGGAGGCCAAAGAGGAAGGCGAGGGCCACTTCCTCGCATGCACCTCCCCCCATCATGCCTACCCCCAACCCGGCGCCAGGGAGTTCTGAAACGGAGGACTCCGTGCCTAACACAATCGGAAGCACAGGAGTCTTTGCCAAACCTAAGTACCGAAAAGGATAAGCACCAGTCTCCAGAACAGCCTGCACCTGAAACCGATCAGGCGGTGCCTGGCCCCAACAGCACGCCACCCGATTCTCCGCCACCTCTCAACCGGCTGAGGGATCAGAGACGCCGGGACTTGGCAACCAGACACAAAGAGGCACACTTGCACAGTTGGAGATCAATAAGCCCGGAGTTCTAGCGGGATCAAGGACTTCGCGAGGCAGTGCTAATGAGGCACTAATGAGTTAGCAACCCAGCGAGCTATTTGAATAGGTCGCTGACTGCTGGCTAATCGTGCTGGCAAACTGGTCCGAAGGAACTCTGTACCCCTGACTCTGTTCCTGGTATCCGGCTACTGACTGATTTCCTGGCTCCTGACTCCAGTCCACGTTTTGACGACTCCCTGGCTCTTGATCCTCGGCTCTGCACCCTGACTTTGATGCTTGCTTATCTGGACTCTGACTCTCGGTAACGCTCTGACTACAGCCTGGCTTTATGTATTGGGACTGTTGCTCTGGTTATTTTGCTCTCTCTCGCTCTCTGGCTTCACTCTCAGACTGGACTGTGTACTCCCCCTCTCTGCCTTGCCCCACTGGCCCTGTCGTGACACCCCCCAGGCAGGCAGCCTCCAGGCTCAGCTGCAGCACCCCTCCTGCAAAATGCCCAGCGAGAGGACGGGCCCCTCCCTCCTGTAGTTTGAACTGGACCCGAGATTACCCCCTTTTGCACAGCTGGAAAATGCCCACAAAGGCTGCTTCCCGCGGGGGTCAGGGTCGTCGTCAGGGCTCTGCTTGGCAGCCCCATCCGGTGGCCATCCCCTGAGCGCCCAGCCCCCCCTCCCAGTTTTGATCTGAGGCCCTCTCTACAAAGCACAGGAGACAGCCCCTCCCCTCCTGGGAAGGAAGTGTTTGTAGGTCAGGGATGATTCACAACAGGCTCCTTATTGCTTGCTAGCTCACCCGGGGCACGGCGTGCCTTAACTCCTGCGCTGATCTCGGTTCCCTCCCTCCTTCCCTCCCTCCTGATCAACTTGGGCATCTCACAGGCAACCGCTGCCTCTGTAGCCACACGCATGCACAGCGAGAGGCCAGGCAGCCAGAGAGACCCAAGTAGTCTGGAGTCCCTCCGGGAGTAAGTAAAGAGGCTTGGCTGGCCAGCAAGGCAGAAAGGGGGGGTGCTTCCTTTTGCGGTGAGGGGGGGCACCACAAGGCAGCCTCACCTGGGGTGGCGCCACAAGCTAGCCTCGCCTAATGTGCAAAAACACCTCAGGCCGGCCCTGGACCTACCTGCCTGGAATATTGGACCTACCGTAAAGGTTTCTACTATTTGAGAAAGAGGCTGTTTGGGTATTCCTTTTCCCAACTCCAATGTGTATCTTGCCAGAATCACTGGTACAAGGAACTGGATGTTAAGAGTAAGGTGTTAACTTTCAGCTACAAGAGATCTTTTATCTTAAGTTCAACAGAAACAATATCCCATTTAAAAGGAACCAGAAAAACCCAAATACCATTCAGCTACTTCATTGTAGCTATGCAACAATCAAGATTTTAAGGCAACAAGAGTCATTCCTTCATTTCAACTTCTGAGCACAGCTTCCTCCACTCGTTGCTCAACCAAGAGAGCTAGCACCTATATTGTCATAAAAGACCTGAATTCTAAAAGATTAATTCTCCATTAGTTTTTCAACCAAGAGAACTAGTAAATAAATAAATTCTAACACATCTTACCTCAGTGCTGTTTACATACAACATTACAATCATTTCACCAGTTTTCAAGAGCAGTGTGACAATAGAATGAGTTGGCCACGTCTCATCTAATTGGAGCAGTCAGGTAGGGGGGTATTACACTAGCATTCTTTAGACTCACTCATAAGAGGACGCAGGTAGAGAATAACCTGAAAAAGAACAAAGAGAGTGAAAAAGAGGCCAGAGGCCTTCTCTGGAGCCCTGCTCTTACTTTTTATACCTTTATCAAAGTATCCTCCCTGCTGTACCATGGACTGACTAGACAAACATCAGAACAATTATTTGGGTCAAATTTGTTATACGGCTAGTTCTGGATCTTTACCAGCTTGAAGTCAAGGTTTTCCAAGTACCTAAGATCACTCAGCTGAAGTTCCATCACAGGGAATCATTGGGTGTCCATAAGAACATAACAGAAGCCAATGTTGGATCAAGCCAATGGAACATAACAGAAGCCAATGTTGGATCAAGCCAATGGTCCATCCAGTCCAACACTCTGTCACACAGTGGCCAAAAATACCAGGTGCCATCAGGAGGTCCAGCAGTGGGGCCAGGACACTAGAAGCCCTCCACTGTTGCCCTCCCCCCAAGCACCAAGAATACAGAGCATCACTTGCCCCAGAGTTTCTATCTATACCTTGTGCCTAATAGCCACCGATGGACCTCTGCTCCATATGCTTATCTAATTCCCTCTTGAAGCCATCCATGCTTGTAGCCGCCGCCACCTCCTGTGGCAGTGAATTCCATGTGTTAATCCCTCTTTGGGTAAAGAAGTACTTCCTTTATCTTTTCTAACCCGACCGCTCAGCAATTTCATGAAGTGCCCACGAGTTCTTGTATTGTGAGAAAGGGAGAAAAGTACCTCTTTCTCTACCTCATCTGAACCCAGGACTTGGACATGGTTCTTGTTATCAGACAT